GTAGGTTGCCGTCTGTTGCCCGAGGCCCCTGCCCAGTGGTAGGTTGCTGTCTGTTGCCCGAGCCCCTGTTGAGGGGTAGATTGCCGTCTGTTGCCCGAGCCCCTGTTGAGGGGTAGATTGCCGTCTGTTGCCCGAGCCCCTGTTGAGGGGTAGATTGCCGTCTGTTGCCCGAGCCCCTGTTGAGGGGTAGATTGCCGTCTGTTGCCCGAGCCCCTGTTGAGGGGTAGATTGCCGTCTGTTGCCCGAGCCCCTGTTGAGGGGTAGATTGCCGTCTGTTGCCCGAGCCCCTGTTGAGGGGTAGATTGCCGTCTGTTGCCCGAGCCCCTGTTGAGGGGTAGATTGCCGTCTGTTGCCCGAGCCCCTGTTGAGGGGTAGATTGCCGTCTGTTGCCCGAGCCCCTGTTGAGGGGTAGATTGCCGTCTGTTGCCCGAGCCCCTGTTGAGGGGTAGATTGCCGTCTGTTGCCCGAGCCCCTGCCCAGTGGTAGGTTTGCTGTCTGTTGCCCGAGCCCCTGTTGAGGGGTAGATTGCCGTCTGTTGCCCGAGCCCCTGTTGAGGGGTAGATTGCCTTCTGTTGCCCGAGGCCCCTGCCCAGTGGTAGGTTGCCGTCTGTTGCCCGAGCCCCTGTTGAGGGGTAGATTGCCTTCTGTTGCCCGAGGCCCCTGCCCAGTGGTAGGTTGCCGTCTGTTGCCCGAGGCCCCTGCCCAGTGGTAGGTTGCTGTCTGTTGCCCGAGCCCCTGCCCAGGGGTAGATTGCCGCCTGTTGCCCGAGGCCCCTGCCCAGTGGTAGGTTGCCGTCTGTTGCCTGAGGCCCCTGCCCAGTGGTAGGTTGCCGTCTGTTGCCCGAGGCCCCTGCCCAGTGGTAGGTTGCCGTCTGTTGCCCGAGCCCCTGTTGAGGGGTAGATTGCCTTCTGTTGCCCGAGGCCCCTGCCCAGTGGTAGGTTGCCGTCTGTTGCTCGAGCCCCTGCCCAGGGGTAGATTGTCGCCTGTTGCCTGAGTCTCCAATCCGCTGTCCAGTCACGGAGGGAGCCCGGCTGAGGCCCCAAGCCTAAAGGGGGGAGATTGCCTGAAGACCCCCCCTGTGCCTGGAATTGTCCCTGGTTTGCGCACACATCACCCTCCCTGCCATTTCCCTATTGAGTGTCTGTCAATTTGTTGTTTCAATAAAGTTTTGTGTGTTCCCCATCTTCTCCGTGTGCTCTGTCCTGCCTACGCTTCCGTTACAGAGCCCTATCAGAATCACCAGGTCAGTGCCAGGACAAGGTCATCCAGCGCCAGGGCAAAGATGCCATAATAGGCTCCACCATTCAAGATTTATGGGATCCTATACTCAGCGGTCACTCGCTTGTCAAAATCACTGTGCAGCTCAGTTTTAACACTGGGCACATGCTTGTGTTTATGGCTCTCCACTCCCGGCTCTCTCCTGGACACTTCTGTGCTCAGCGGTGTGGGCCGTGCACGCTCTCCCGCACCTTCTTTCTGCTGGTACAGCACCTGTGTGTCTGTGAACACCGCCCCCTGCTTGTTAATACAGGAGAACTGCACTGACAGAAAGGAGGAGGGGGAGTGAGAACACAGCCTGCACCGCATCCCAGCTCTCTTCTCCTCCCTGCTACCAGTACTAGGCTGACAGCAGTAGTGATGCTGTTGTCACAACTCCTGTCTGCCTTGTAACAGAAGGAAGGCTCCCCCATCCCTACAGTAAACCATGGTGCCCAGGGCAGCTGTCCCTTGTGCCAACCCCTTGTCCTGGCCCACCAGGTGAACATACAGCGAAAAAAAAAAATGCAGCCACCCACCTCTAATGACTGGTGAGCTGCAGTATATTCCATTTTGTAAAACATACATAAATAGTGTTGCACTAACTCATTTAAACATAATAGTCCATAAACAGATTCAAACATGATAATATGAAATAGTTCAATCAAAATATGAAATATTATGAAAAATTATCACATTTGAATCTCTTTATGGACTATTTATGTATGTTTTATGATTTAAGTGTGGGATCACCTTTTAAGTGTTATTGCAGCAGCTCTATTTTATTAGCTTATTCACAAGTTTTTTTTTATTTATTTATATATTCCATTTTGTATCTGAGTGTAACTAGGGTTGCCACCTCATCCCTTTCAGGGTCGGTTCACACTATAGAAACGCAGAACAGATGCATTGCTGCATGCACGTTTTTGATGTGTTTCAGTGAATTTTTTTATGCGTTCTGGTCCATTTTTGATGTGTTCCAGTTAATTTTTCCCCCTTTTACTTCAATTTAAATAGGGACATGTGCGTTCCACTGATGTGAACTATAACATTGACAACCACATAACCTACTTTCTGTGCGTTTTGGGTGCAGCAAAAAAGCACACTGAAACGCATGTAGTGTGAACTGGCCGTTAAACTGAAAACAGTTTCACAGGTTCTGTGGCTGATTAAGGTGGAAATTAAACTCACTTACTGCCTTATCTGCTTTAACCAGTTGCCCTCCAGAGGATTTACCCCCCTTCCTAACCAAGCCATTTTTTGCATTATGGCGCTGCATTACTTTAACTGACAATTGTGCGGTCATGCAACACTGTACATAAATGAAATGTATGTCCTTTTTTTCCCCACAAACAGCTTTCTCTCAGTCACATTTGATCACCTCTGCATTTTTTTATTATTTGCACTATAAACAAAGAGACCGACAATTTTGAAAAAAACAAACAAACAATATTTTGGACTTTTTGCTATAAAACATATCCTGTAAAAAGATTTTAAAAATCTCATTTTGACATAAATCTAGGCCAAAATGTATTCTGCGACATGTCTTTGCTATAATAAAATCCCAATACGTGTAAATTAATCGGTTTACGTGAAAGTTATAGCGTCTACAAATGGTGGTTTATATACTGAAAATTATTTTTTATTTTTTTTTTTACTAGTAATGGCAGTGATCAGCGACTTATTGCAGGACTGTGGCGGGCATTCTGACACTGGGGGGTGAACTGACTAACTGCCACTGACATCCCAATGACACTAATACAGTAATCAGTGCTGATAAAAGCACCGCCACCATACGAATGACACTGGGCAGGAAGGGGGTTAACATCTGGGACGATCAAAGGGTTAACTGTGTACTGTTTTACTAAGTGTGTTTTAAGTGTTTTTACTAGGGAAACATGCTGCTTTGTATTGCTCTGCTATGCAGAGTCTCCAGTACAGAGGATGGTGTGAGGGGGGAGTGAAGATAATATATTAGAGTTGTGGCGAGCACTAGCTGCTTTGTAGAAAGGGAAGGTGTTTATAGAAGGGTGTATGTGTGATTTCTCGAGGCCAAGGCTGGGGCCCCATTCACATATTGCATTTTATGATCTCAAATTGCAGCAGAATGCGCTGTACTTTTGAGTGTTGTTATTCTCTAATGTCTTTTTTTTTTTTTCTTTTTTTAATAGTCCGCAAACGTGCAACTATAACGTAAAAACCCGTAAGTGTTCACAAAAAATGTGCAAGTGCAAAACACCACACGAAAAAGTGCACTTAGGGGTGTGCTGTGTCCTACCCCTAAAGGGGCTTGGACCACTTACCCTGATCCCCCGGGGCACGAAGCTCCTGACGGGGACAAGGTTCCCAATTGGTCCTCCTGGCCAAAAGGCCTGGTGGACCACCGTTCCTTGTGTCCAGCCGAAGACAGACACCCAGTACTTGGTCAGGGGGCTCTCCCGAAGAAAAGCCCCCTAGGGATCAGGGGAGGAAGGAACCAAAAGGCCACACATCCTCCCCCTAGACTTCAGGGTAGGCCCGAGGACCCACACCCTCCATCCGTGAAAACACACGCATAAGTAACAGAAAAAGTGACAAACGTGGGAGGTGAAATAAATTAAATAAATAGAAAATAAAAAAGTGGTACCGTGCCAAATTGTGCACAGACCAGGCCCTGAGGCCCATAGCAAAAATTGCCCTGGACTTAGCCAAAAGGCCTGGTCCTTAGGGCGCTGTGCAAAAAGAGTGTAAAAACAGTGACCATGTGCCAGCTTCACACTGTGGGGTCCCACACCCAGGTGTTACTAGTGGCACCCCTGAGAGCATCTACTCAGGGGGCACTGAGTTTGCGGACTTTCTGCCTCCTCAGCCCCTGGCCAGACCAAGGCAGATCCGTCCAAATCAGGAGGTACTGGGTCTTTCAAGCTTTCCCAGAGGAATTACTCCCAAGGCCCCAGAACGAATCATGGCGCTCCCTGGTTTCTGTCCCTCCGGTCTAGCCTTCCGGACCCCCATCATACCAGTGAGGGTACTATACAACAGCCATCTCCGCAAAGCTAGAAAGGCCGGGAGCACCCCCACTGGACACTGATAAGAACAGATACTACACTTGATCTTAGCCAAAAGGCCGAGAAGCGATAATGTCACCCTAAACGCCATTCACGTGGCAATTGCAGCAGAACACGAGTTTTTAAAAATGTGCTACACGTGAGCTTCCTTTCCAGCGACAAGTGCACATAGGGCAGACCATGAAGTGAATTATATTATGTGTAACATGAATAAATCAGAGCAATACAAATGCAGAGCAATACAAAGCAGCATGTCAGCGCTGACAGGGGGGAGATCTGTGTTGTTTACATACAGACCTCTCCCCTGACAAGTGTTCCTCAGCAATCGCAAGGTACGCTGGGAGCCAGTGATCAACATCTGTAGGGCGGCACGTGCACCCCCTACGCAGAAATGCAAATCATGTGTATATATATATGTTTTTCCGCAGCCCTGTAGCAGTAGTCCTGCTATAGGACGGTGGGGAAGCAGTTAAATTAGCCCCAGAACCTGTGTAATGAATGTGTTCAGTTTTAAAGGGATGAGGTGACAACCCTACGAGTAATAATAAAACACAGAACCCTCAGGGAAACTTAACAGAAAAGTGACCGCCTGCAGCAGCTCTCCATCCTGGCAGTGTGTTTTATGGACTCTATTCCGCCTATATTCCAGGCAGCCCTAACTGCCGGCTACAGCCCATACACGTTATCACTCCTTACCACGGAAGCCGGCCAGCGTGACGTCGAAGCCATTTCTAGCCAATGACAGCGCGTGATACGTCATCCGAGGGCTGCGGCCCACATCGCCCAGGACCAGCACACACACCTGATTGGGTCTTCCAGGCTGGCAGAGGGGGGCGAGCAGCAGGAACGTGCATAATGTCACTGCAAATACACAGAGTGAGCCGGAGACACAAGCCAAGCATACTCCGGCTGTGCTCGTTATAACCGCCACGGCTAGGGCTCGGGTAACCGCCATAGTGCTGCTCAGATACTGAGTGCGGAAGAGCTACGTATAGCTGCGGCGCATGAGGGACCTGCACGGTACCCGCCCTCCTCGCTGATTGGCCGCCATCTTCACAGTGTCAGGGTGTCCAGTACAGAGGATGGTGTGAGGGGGGAGTGAAGATAATATATGAGAGTTATGGCGACCACTGACTGCTTTGTAGAAAGGGAAGGTGTTTATAGAAGGGTGTATGTGATTTCTGTGAGGACAAGGCTGGGACCTTATTCACATATTGCGTTTTAGGATCCCAAATTGCAGCAGAATGCGCTGTGCTTTTGTGTCATTATTCTCTAATGGCACCCAATACACCATTCACGTGGCGATTGCAGCAGAAGAAGAGTTTTAAAAATGTGCTACACGTGAGCTTTTCTTTTGAGCGACAAGTGCACATAGTGCAGACCATGAAGTATCCTATGTGTAACATGAAAAATCGAGTGCGAATCGCTCAACCCGCTACGCAAAAGTGTGACTGCAGCCTGGTATCCACTTGCCATCCTGAGGATTTACCCCCCTTCCTGACAGGCCATTTTTTATGATACGGCGCTGCGTTACTTTAACTGACAATTGCGCGGTAATGCAACACTGCACCCAAATGAAATGTACATTCTTTTTTCCCAACAAATAGAGCTTTTTTCATGGCTATTTGATCACATCTGCGTTGTTTATTTTTGCACTATAAAAAATATACTGACAATTTTTTAAAAAATATATATTTTTTACTTTTTGCTATAAAACATATCCATTTAAAAAGTCTAATTTGTCATAAATGTAGGCCAACATGTATTCTGCTATATGTTTTTGCTAAGCAAAAATAAAAAATTCAAATACGTATAAATTAATTGGTTTACGTGAAAGTTATAACGTTTACAAATGGCGGTATAGATACTGGATTTTTTTTTTTTTTTTAATACTAGTAATGGTGGCGATCAGCAACTTATAGCGGCAGTAAGATGATATGAATCAGCCTATGTCTGTAGCCTCGTCCTCGTTATTTTCACCACCAGGCCTGCGAGAAATAAAACTCTAGACACTGCAAGCTAAATCTCTGAAAGTTTAATGTGAAACAACATAAACCATAGGGCAGCGCTAAATAAATGCCAATAAGTTGTCTAAATTGAGTGACGAACCACTCATATAAATAAATGAAATATAATATAGTGTCCCAAATTAATCGTTCAGATGGTGATGGTTATCCACACTGGTGAACAATGGACAGGTTCTATATGTCTCCCCGTGCACATAGAATCTGGAGATCCAGTGACATGCGGTCAAAATAGAAAGCTTGCCCACTCACCGGAAGCGCAATCTTAATGCGCAAAATTCAGATAAACCAGGAGCGGAAGTTCCCTTGATGGTACAGCCTGGAACAAGATCCTCTCCTCTGCAGATACAGGTATTAGAGATATCCCTCATAAATGCCCTGGGACAGGTAAACTGCAATGGGTCTGGTCACTGGCTCCCTCCTCTAATCCTAGTGGTGCGTATGGGGTCCTGGATGGATTTTGGCACCCAGCACCAGGACAATGGAATTACCCACAAAATGATCCATTTTAAGAAGCAAACACTACCGTATATTCTATGAGGCATAATGAGTCTTTTGAACATGTAATTTTTTTCCACAAGTTTTCAGAAAATGTGGAAAAATTAAAATGCATCTTTTTTACACAATGTTGTCCATTTTAAGATATTTCCAAGGAATAGTACATACATACCAAACATTACACCCCAAAATACATTCTGCTACTCCTGATTATGGCGATACCACGTGTTTGAGACTTTTCCACGACCTGTCCACATAGAGAGCCCCAACATCGAAGCAGCACCTTTAGTCCTAGGGGCAATAATTACACATCTAATTTCTTGATAACGTAACATGTTTTTGAAGGCCCTGGAGCACCAGGAAAGTGGAAAGACCCACTAAATGACACCATTTTGGATAGCAAACACACCAACTTATTTTTTGTGAGGCATAATGAGTCTCTTTAACATGTCTTTTTTACCACAAGTTTATGGAAAATGTGGAAAGAAAATTAAAACTTTTTTTTTTTTACACAAAGTTGTCTATTTATAAGATATTTCCAACACATACTATATACCAGTGATGGCGAACCTTTTTGAGCCCGAGTGCCCAAACTGCAACCCAAAACCAACTTATTTCTTTCAAAGTGCCAACACTGCAATGAAACCTGAATATCGAGCTTTTGGTTTAGAAAAAACAACTCGTACAGTAGTGCAAACTAATTAACAGTACAGGGATGACCAGAGACTGCGGACACAGTACAGGGATGACCAGAGACTGCGGACACAGTACAGGAGATGACCAGAGACTGCGGACATAGTACAGGGAATGACCAGAGACTGCGGACACAGTACAGGAGATGACCAGAGACTGCGGACAGTACAGGGATGACCAGAGACTGCGGACACAGTACAGGGATGACCAGAGACTGCGGACACAGTACAGGGATGACCAGAGACTGCGGACACAGTACAGGGATGACCAGAGACTGCGGACAGTACAGGGATGACCAGAGACTGCGGACAGTACAGGGATGACCAGAGACTGCGGACACAGTACAGGGATGACCAGAGACTGCGGACACAGTACAGGGATGACCAGAGACTGCGGACACAGTACAGGGATGACCAGAGACTGCGGACACAGTACAGGGATGACCAGAGACTGCGGACACAGTACAGGGATGACCAGAGACTGCGGACACAGTACAGGGATGACCAGAGACTGCGGACACAGTACAGGGATGACCAGAGACTGCGGACAGTACAGGAGATGACCAGAGACTGCGGACAGTACAGGAGATGACCAGAGACTGCGGACACAGTACAGGAGATGACCAGAGACTGCGGACACAGTACAGGAGATGACCAGAGACTGCGGACACAGTAAAGGAGATGACCAGAGACTGCGAACAGTACAGGAGATGACCAGAGACTGCGGACAGTACAGGAGATGACCAGAGACTGCGGACACAGTACAGGGATGACCAGAGACTGCGGACAGTACAGGGATGACCAGAGACTGCGGACATAGTACAGGAGATGACCAGAGACTGCAGACATAGTACAGGGATGACCAGAGACTGCGGACACAGTACAGGAGATGACCAGAGACTGCGGACACAGTACAGGGATGACCAGTGACTGCGAACAGTACAGGGATGACCAGAGACTGCGGAAAGTACAGGAGATGACCAGAGACTGCGGACAGTACAGGGATGACCAGAGACTGCGGACACAGTACAGGGATGACCAGTGACTGCGGACAGTACAGGGATGACCAGAGACTGCGGACAGTACAGGGATGACCAGAGACTGCGGACAGTACAGGGATGACCAGAGACTGCGGACACAGTACAGGGATGACCAGAGACTGCGGACAGTACAGGGATGACCAGAGACTGCGGACACAGTACAGGGATGACCAGAGACTGCGGACACAGTACAGGGATGACCAGAGACTGCGGACACAGTACAGGAGATGACCAGAGACTGCGGACACAGTACAGGAGATGACCAGAGACTGCGGACACAGTACAGGGATGACCAGAGACTGCAGACACAGTACAGGAGATGACCAGAGACTGCGGACAGCACAGGGATGACCAGAGACTGCGGACAGTACAGATGACTGCTGACCTTTGGGGAGGGAGGGGGAGCGGGTACCTGAATTTGACAGGTACCCGCTCTTACTTCCGCAGAGTTTTTTTTTTATCTTACCTGTTCCTTTATCCAGCCGCGCGCTGTCTTCCCGGCTTCTGTAGTGTGGGCGCTCGTCGGACAGCCGGATGCCCAGTGCGCATGCGCGAGAAGCGCTGCGCTTTGTGATTGGTCCGGCGGCTTCTGGGATCTGTCATGTGTCCCAGGTACCGCCTTACCATTCACAAAGAGCACTGCTTCTTGTGCATGCGCACTTGGGACCCGGCTGTCACGCACACTACAGCCGGGAAGACAGCGCGCCGCTGGATTCTCCTGGCGTGCCCACAGATAAGGCTCGGTGTGCCAGCTGTGGGACGCGTGCCACGGGTTCGCCATCACTGCTATATACGTACCAAAAATTGCACCCCAAAATACATTCTGCTACTCCTCCTGCTCACATGAAAGGAAATTGACATACATTACATTAATGGCAGCAGCATGGGTGTTTTCACTTTCATGTAAGTTGCTAGCTGACAACAGTCAATAAGCAGAGGCAGTCCGCTGGCCACAAGGTGTGGATGTGATCCAAACACGTCACTTGCACTGAACAGTGTACTTGAAGCAAAAGCTGCTGGGTTGCCAAATTGCATGCAAGAGAACAGGAATTCTATAAAATATCTTAATGTGAGCTGGCTGTATCTCATTTAAACATCTCTGGAGGGGACCTTGCTGCTTATTACGCATACCAGTGAAAGGGATATCACCGCTTTGGACGGATATCATCCGCAGAGGGGGACCTAACCGTGGAGGATCCTTTTTTGTGATCCTCGCGTTGTGATCCAAGCGTTTTGGCCCATTTGGGTCACTTCAAGGAGGTGAGGGGGCAATTCAGCCGCTTACGGATTATTTCCCATTGGTTGTTATGCACATCCACTTTTCACCTGCACATTTCAAAAATCGTTGGCTAACTTGGTGTTCATGCACCTTTGAACTTTCTACATATATTTATATATTTTTTTATATATTTCTCAGTACATACTTTTTTTCTTTTGGACTTATTGCATAATATTATTTAAAACTAAGTGGTGTTGATGTTTTTCATAACATTATTTTTATATGTTCATATATATTTGGTAAATTTTTTTTTAGGTTTTTTGATAACACAGCACTTATCACTATTGCAGATTTTGATCCCTCATTAGGGATTCACTTATTGTCACTTGTTTCTTTTCCTTTTGGCATTATTGAGCCATTGTGATCACTATTTTGTGAGCTATTGGTCCCAATTTCAGGGATTTGTTATATACTATTTATTC